TGTTTTGTATTTAATGGCCACTAGGGGGAGCGTGCCGCTACAAATTTTAAATGACACCTGCGGTGAAAGGACGGGCCGTCCGGGGGCACCACTAGTCAAGCCAAATGTAGCTTTAACATAAGTCTTTTGAACTTTGGTAAGACAACAATTTGTATCTTTCAGATGACTGGATTTGCTGTCGTGGAATTTGTAGACGAGAAGGCGGTTGAGGTTATTCACAAGTCATGGATAGAAAGAAGGGATGAGGTTAGTAGATCATATGTATTGTTTCGATATAATTATGATATGCACGCCTGTAAGCACTCTTACATCAGTGGCAATTAACATGGTTAATGTACATGACTACTTTCATTAATCTGCATGTATTTTGACAATGTGGCGATGTTTATTGTAAAGTTATGTCTTGTATCTAGAAAAGGTCTCAGACATTGATTAAAAAGTTAAATTAAATTAATAATTATACTACAACACTATAATTATTTAATTTTTTTTTTACATCTGCAGGTTCTGTACTGCTAGTGGCCCACAAACAACGTTTCTGTACATGTAAGGAGAGAGAAATTGCCGGACAAAGAGAAAAGGACTAGGGACAGATAAGTTTTTTCATGTACACAGGTAAAATTTAACCTTATATTTGTGTACATAACATTTGTGTATCATCTATGGCCAATGCATATTTTATTGGAATTTTTGTTGAACGACCTGAAGCATGCCAGGTTGGCGGAGGAGACATTAACTTTGGAATCTGGTGGTGAATAGGAGTCATGCACAAGAAAAAGAAAGGTTCCAAGTCGCTATGAGCTTTCAGAGCGTGGACCTGCTGATGTGTTTTCATAAAGCAGACAATTGCTTGTTTTTTGGCCTCGTGGGCTATGCAGATGTGTGTCCCTGGGGATTTCCAATTGGGTGGCTTTCTAATCTCTTCTAATACTGGACAAGCCTCATGTTATTTATCAATAACAGTGTCAGCAAGTTAGTTGCAAGATTCTTATGCCCTGATAGCATACGTTAATGTTCTATAACTCTATAAATTTATAAAGCTTTTAGCTAACTTATACATTATATACTCTGCCTTTTTCAAGAGAAAAACTGTTCAGTTTATTTCTAATGTAGTATAGATTATATATCCTGATCGTTCTAATTCTATAATTATAGATGAAGGAGAGTTCGTACCAAAGAGGTCTAAAGCATCAACTTCATTTCCGCTACCAAAAGAGCCAAACTTCCTGCTGACAGATTTCAGCCCTTCTGAAGCTACTTGTAGCTCGTTCATCAATGGTATGCCATTATATATATATATATATATCACACACACACATATATATCTATATATATTTATTTATTCACCCAGCTGTAGGATTGATTTCAAATGTTTGAAGTGTAGTTGATTCATGTAAGAATGAGAGTACCAAATATCAATGCAGAAAGGTATTAATTGTACCATCGTTACAAGCTTCTATCATATTAACTTATAACATTCTGAACCTTAAGATGGCAAAATCTTATTATCTTGTTATCTTGTTGTGTATCTTTATTTTCACATGGAAACGTGGAGAAAGTACAGAAAGGATGACAAGCCAACATCCATCGAAATATAAGGCATTCGTACTGAGACCACACCACCTAGACATCACCACCTATGTTGGCATCTAGCCTCAACTCCAGGCCAGTCCATGATAGTAAAGTGCGTTGATATGTTTGTGAGTATGTAATAAAGTGCTCTCAACAGGCCAAAAAAGACTTCAAGAAGATAACACCATGTTTTAAATGGGTAATTTCATGTCAGATAAACCAACGGCTTCTAACTTCACATAGAACTTGATAAATAAACATACCTGCCCAACCTTGACAGATCTTGAGAGTGATCAGTGTCAAAATTGTCAAAGTCCAGAGTTTTATACACACCATGTTAACAATGATTTTGAGACAAGTTTGAGATGCTGAAAACTAAAGAAGAATATCACTTGTTGTACCAAATTATTGCATTAATAACATTGTTGTAGGAGATTCATGAGTTAAAAGTCCGTCCATTCATATGGTTGAAGAAGTGCAATAACTGTCCACATCAATTTTTAACAGATTTCCAAATGAGTATGCTGTTGAGGTTAGAAGAAGTAATCGATACCCAAAGGACAGTGATGAGGATGTTGGTTGGCGTAGTGGGAGCCCGGACCTTGCAGGAGGATGTCTTGGCTTCCCAGCTGAAGAGCGTGGCAGAAGTTGGACACTGGAAAGAAACTGAGCAGATGGCGACTTCAGAAAGAAAATGTAATTTGTTGTGGAACAACATATAACTTGACTGTATTTATAAATAACTGAAGTGTGTGAATGAAGTTTGTGCCAAGCAAATGTTGAGATCAAACTATTGGTGCAATTAGAGCCTTTTCATGTTTCATGGTTATTTGAGATGTCAGCATTTATGCACATATTGAATGTATTTGATTGTAATTGTTCTTCTGCAGGTAAACATCTGACTAGCCTTTGTGGGCATAGGCTCGCGAGACAGCGTCCGCCGTATATGAGGAAGCTGGTAGCAACAACTTTGGTCGCACTACAGTTGAAGGCAGGAAAGGAAAACTGCCCTTTAAATAACCTGCTTCTCTGCAACGTGATGATAAGATGTATGTAAATATAGTGTCCTACTATTGATATAAATTACTGCTTAATTATCAAGGAGTAGTCAGGTAGACATATAAATACTCCATTATTGATTGAGCGAAAAATGTGTAGGCAGGCACAAAATTCTGATTTTTTTGCACCAGCCAGAGGGCTGGTAACAGCAATTTTACCAACCATCACAAATTTAGTTTGAAAGTCATATTTCACGCTTGCCATTCTCGATTTCAAATTTGTAAAATGTTGATAAATTATGGCGGTGAATCCTTCAGCTAAACAGTAATATAGGCTATTTCTCATTAATGCTTTAAATAACAAGTGCCGCAGAGCGACATCCGCTCATATAACTCTACTGCGGTGACTCTGTGGTGGAGGGGTGGGATTCTAGTAAACCCTGTTGTCCCAAATGTGTTCACATACGCGCCAAAACAGTGGAAGGCACAGGGATGGTATCAGGAACCTTCTCAAAGGAATGTTCGTTGGATCGTTATGAAAAGTGCCACGAGATGGCGCGTACGTTTAAGTGTCTTAAGATTAAAGATGGAAGCTCCCATCGTACGAAGTAGCAAACAACTATTGCAAGACAAGAATAGGTAAGCACTCATCCATTTACCTAGGCAAGCCCTACAGCCTGCAATAGAGAGCTGCCACCTGTAACAATTACGCAGGCAAAAACTACACAGTACCACAACACACACTGGCATAGCCACTGGCAGTGGCATACGTTACATGTAACATACTGACAGTACAGAATGCCATAGAAATTATACGATTTAAGGAGCATAAACCTTCTTTAACCAAATTTTAGCTTTTGAAATTTCACTGTGACATTGTAGCCTCATACATCCAGGCATGTATAGATTCTACTAGCAAACCCGGCAGTCAAATTCTTTCTAAACAGACAGTCAACAAATCCATGTTTAACCCTCCTATTGAGGGTCAAAAGGTAATCTGACACTTACATCCTCGCATGTCAGCAGAAAGTAGATTTCATGGTCCTTTCAATAATGCCTATAAAATGCTAGGTCACTGCTGAAACAAAAAAGTTTTTCAATGCTCCGTCAGACCATGTCCTCAGAAAATGTCTAAAATCTGCCCTGTGCCCATTGACCGTTGACACTGTGACCTCCAATTTCGGCACAGTGATGGCTTTTCCTACCATGATGCTATACACAACTATTCACAGACCTTAGGTCGAGCCGTTTAGATTTGTGCCGCAATTCTGCATTTCCTCCCTATCCCTTAAGTTAAGGAGTGAATGTTCCCCCTTCTTTTACACCTCTTTCCCTTTGACCTTTGAACCCCAGCTTCGACATCCCAACTCGTTTTCGGATTACCCCCCCACGTCCCGAATATCGTGACCGTACGTCGAGCCGTTTAGATTTGTGCCCAACTGTTGACGGACGGACAGACGCTCGCACGGACGGACGGACGATCATGCGATTCTACAAGCTGCATCTGACTATGTCAGATGAGCTAAAAACGAGGAGCAGCTCTACACAACCCCGCATCATGCAGGAGGGACTAAGGAGTCTTGAGGTAAACTGGGGCAGCTCAGTCAGTCAACGAAGCAGATGCGACATTCTTGGTCAGGCTCGGACGAGGACGACGATGAAACTCTGCATGTATCAGGACAAGCAATGCCTGCTTCCAGCAACATGTCACGCAAGACGAAGAAAGAAGAGCCACATACAGCTAGGGGTGTAACGATGCATTAAACTATTGCCAACTATCGATATTTTTTGTCTCGATGGCAATGCATCAATGGTAAAGTGAAACACAATATTTATCGCCGATAGTATACTAAACAATCGATATTTTTTATTGTTGCAAAATTTGAACACCTGGGCCCATTGTCAGAAACATCGTAAAGTTAATGCTAATGTTAATGCTAAGATAACACTTACGACTAATGTTAATGTTACGAAAGTAGAGTTGACAGAAACACATCGTAGCTACGAGCAAACTCACGATAACAGGAACTTCATAATTTCATGTCACAAGGCTGCTGATTGGACGAGAATCGATCACAAAATTCAAATTCATACACATTTATTGTACATCACAGTAATTTATGCATATTATGATGGCTAACCACATATAAATAATATTTGATAATAAGTTAGTCCGTTACGGGTGACCAGCTACGTGTAATGGGGGTAGTTAAGTTGCGGGTCACACTAGGCCGGGTAAGAACGTCTCTCCAGTTTTGTGTAGTAGCAGCATTGCCCAAGAATATCATTTTAGGGATAGACTTTCTCGCCAAAAATAGGGTGGGCATAGATTTCTCAAACTCAGTATTAACAATACGTAATAGTATAGTGCCGATGTACGCGAAAGAGTGATGAGCAGGGCCATTGCCCATGATGAAAGTAGCCTATGTTCAACGCTACAAGCATCTCACGCCATATCAAACGGCATGGTGCGAATGTCAGGTTAATGATGTTTTACCCGTGGGAACACAAGTTCAACTTCAGTCGCTGCCACTAGAAGGCTATCAGCGTTTCACAGGTTTACAGATTCTGACGAAAACATGTCGCATAAACAATAATGGCACGATTAGCTGTCTCCTGAGAAATACCACACGCAAACACATAAATTTGCATCATAAACCACATTAACGGTGGCACACTTACGTCCAAGGATAGAACAAACACGACCGAGACGAACAGTAACACACGGCGCTACATGCTGCGTTGCCGCCTCAGGGCTGACACGACAAACGACAATACAACAAGGGCGTGAGAAAGCGGGTTTTTGTAGCGAGATTCGGCAAATTCATGACTTGCCGGATAAAGCACTCAACGCGCAGACGACGACCATACAACAAGGGCGTGTGAAAGCGGGTTTTTGTAGCGAGATTCGGCAAATTCATGACTTGCCGGATAACGCACTCAACGCGCAGACGACGGTCGATTACGCCTCGTTAGTAGACCATGTCACAAACCAACAACAC